AAGGTGACATGTAAACAAGTGCAAATAATTCCAACCAATAGGAAAGTGAGGAAAGTGAGGCCGAAATTAGTAAATGCCAATTGTTGTGGCACAACCAAATTTAATTAATGCCGATTTGCTGATTTTGGTTGTGACTAACCTGTTCTAATTAAATCAATTGTTTCACGAAAGCATTGGCGCAGTAATTTCTATTTTTTATAATAAAAAACTATAACAAATTTAACTCGCAGAATTAAACACTGATATTATTTCTTGGCTGATATGGACCTATCAAAGTTGGTTTATTTGATTTATGTGTACCCTTTTATTTTGTATCTTGGGGCGAGATTAAACTAATTTTACATATATTCTTTAAAAAAAACGCGACAAATAGTGATCTCACTAGCCTCACAGAAATACGCGACGAAGATTCGAATGAATGTATTTCTATTCTGATTGCTACAGATAATCATTTAGGTTATATGGAGAATGATCCGATTCGTGGACAAGATTCTTTGAATACTTTTAGGGAAATTTTGCAAATAGCAAAACAAAATGACGTAAGATAAATGTGGCAGCACGTAAAATAAGAAAATTTCTTATTACAAACTCAACAGAAAAGTGCACATTTTTGATATTAAGGTTGATATGGTTCTATTGGGTGGGGATCTTTTCCACGAGAATAGACCTTCTCGAAAGACACTTTACGAGACTATGAAAATACTACGCACTTATTGTATGGGTGATAAAAAATGTCAACTGGAAATCATAAATGATGATAGTGAAAATAAAAAGTTAAGATCTTAAAGAATTTTATCATTTTTTGAAATTTTATCGATAATTTTTATCTAAATAATTCTTCTTTTACTATTTTGCTAGTGATGGTTTTAATAAGTTGAACTTTAAAGATCCTAATTATAAAGTTTCAATGCCTGTATTTTCTATTCATGGCAATCATGATGATCCATCCGGAGTATGTGTAATTCAATTTTTTATTGTCTTTTAGGTTTATCTTATATTAAACACGTCATTATTTTCCAAGGATGGAAACCTTTGTGCTTTGGATGTTCTTGCAGTTTCAGGTCTTGTAAATTATTTTGGTAAAGCTAACGTAGTGGAAAATATTATTGTTAAACCAATATTGCTAAGAAAAGGTGAAACAGTATTGGCACTATATGGATTGGGAAATGTAAGAGACCAACGATTGCATCGAATGTTCACTGATGATGCTGTCAAAATAAACCTACCACCTAATAAAATATCAAGTGAATCGTTCAATCTGATGGTATTGCATCAAAACAGGTGTGATTTTAATAAGGATTTCTGATTAATGAAATAAATGGCGCCCAGATATATTTATTTACTTCATTTATTTTTATTTATTTTATTTTATTATTTATTTATTTATTTTTTTTTGCTGTGTTGTAGAGTCGCACATTCAATTAAAAATTATATACCAGAACACTATTTACCTGATTTTATGAACATGATAATTTGGGGTCATGAACATGATTGCAAAATTGAACCGATATACAATGAGCAGCAGAATTTTTATGTTTCTCAACCTGGATCATCTATTGCTACCAGTCTAGTTGAGGGCGAGCTTGAACCAAAGTATGTTATTGACTTAAATATTTAATTGTTCTGTATACTTTTTGTAATATATCAACGCCGAACTTATTCATAATAGACATGTGGCCAAATTGAATATAATTGGTGATCAATTTGAGTTGAAAAAGATTCGTCTTCGCACTGTTCGCCCATTTGTAATAGGTGAATTATCATTGAAAGACGTTGAGGGGCTTGATCCCACAAAAACATCAGCAGTAAATGCTTATTTAATCACAAAGGTGGGTAATGCATAGCATTGTGTTTTTCTAAATATAATATACCTTTATATAGTAGTTTATTCTTTCCTTCCATAATGAAAGCACAGGTAGAAGAACTTATTCAAGATGCCAAAAACCAATGGCTCGAAATGAATGATTACGATTATGATCTAGATGAAGAAATGTTTCCTCTTCCTTTAATTAGACTAAAAGTAAATATTCATCTCAAAAATTTATAGAAAGTATATGGTACATTGAGTATTCAAATATTACTATTATTTTAGGTGGAATATAGTGGAGGATTCACAGTTTTGAACAATCGGCAATTTGGACAGAAATTTGTAAACCTTGTTGCAAACAATCATGAGATTTTATTTTTCTATCGAAAAAGAGCGTTCGCAGGTATGATATACTTACAATATTTGGATATTACGAGTCAATGTTTGAAAATTTTAATTTGTATTATACTTTATGATTTCTACAGAAAGGAAAAAAAATACTACACAATCAATGAATTTAGTTGACGAATTCGATATGCCTGAAAATCTTTCTCATAATTATGTCACTGATCTCGTTACAGAGAACATGAAGAGTCTTAGTATATTACCAGAAAATGCGTTGAATGAAGCTACCACACTTTTTGTTGATAAAGATGATCCTCATGCTATTGAAGGGTACTTATAATTAATTAACCAACTTTTTTTCTTATGATATATATGGAAAAAAATTAATCATTAAATTTTGAGTCAGGTTCTATAATAATACAATTAAAAAGACAAGAGCGAAACTTCGTCAAGAAAATATGATTTGCGACGATAAAATCCTTATAGAACAGGTTTGAACTATTACTGTCGTATCTCATATATCTCATATACGACTAAATTATATTTTTTAATGCATTTAGGCGCAAAAGCAAAAAAGTCTCTTATCAAAGCAATATGCAGAAATGAATCCTGATGAAAGATTAATAGAAATGGTAAGCATTAATTGTCCTGCAAATGCGCACAAATCAAGGATGCACTCAAGTTTAATATTTACCTTTTAGAGTAGCAACGAAGCATCTGCCGACACATATCAGCAGGAAGATGGCATTGATTCAGACAATCAAATTGGAACTAGCTCTAGGGCTAAAACTACATCAAGAGGAAGAGCCACAAAGACAACTAGGGGAACAGGCACTCGTGGGCGTGGTAGAGGAAAGACAACAACTTCTAGTAGAAAGGTGAATCTACTCATTTGATGTACAAGTATTATATTATATTTCAGATATTTATGTTTTAAAATAATATCTGTAGAATGTGGTAGATGATGAAGGTTTTGTAGATGATATTGATATTGATGATAAATCTGATCGTACTGAACGTGCGCGTGGGCGTGGTAGAGGGAGGACAACAACTTCTAGTAGGAAGGTGAATCTACTCATTTGATGTACAAGTATGATATTATATTTCAGATATTTATGTTTTAAAATAATATTTGTAGAATGTGGTAGATGATGAAGGTTTTGTAGATGATCTTGATATTGATGATAAATCTGATCGTACTGAACGTGCGCGTGGGCGTGGTAGAGGAAGGACAACAACTTCTAGTAGGAAGGTGAATCAACTCATTTGATGTACAAGTATTATATTATATTTCAGATATTTATGTTTTAAAATAATATTTGTAGAATGTGGTAGATGATGAAGGTTTTTTGGATGATATTAATAATGATGATAGATCTAATCATACTGAACGTACTCGTGGGCGTGGTAGAGGAAGGACAACAACTTCTAATAGAAAGGTGAATATATTCATTTGACGTATAATTATTATATGTTATATTTCCGATATCTGTATTTTAAAATAATATCTACAGAATGTGGTAGATGATGAAGGTTTTTTGGATGATCTTGATGATAGAAATGATCACACTGAAGATGATGATGGAAACGAAGTAAAAAAACGAAAGGCTACTACAAGGTAACCGTTTATTATCTCATGTACATGCTTTGTTAAATAATTTATGACACTAAAATTTTTAGGCACAAAGATGAAGAACCTCCAGCTAAACGAACGTACACTAGCAAAAAGCAAACTTCATCAGTATCACAAAGACCATCAGCACCAACATCACAAAGACAATCAGTATCAGCATCACAAAGGCGGATCAACTTTCCAACACTTGCGACTTCGAATTCTTCACAACAATTACGATCTCAAAGTCAGACTATGGTAAATACCACAAGTTACATATTAATTTAAAACTATTAGTTATCACATTTCCAATTACTAATTATGAATATGAATTAAAGGAGGTTGATGATGTATGTATTGAGGTGAAAAATTGGTGCAAATTCCATTGTTACCATGTTTTAAATATAATATTTCTAAATTATAGGACGATTTTTTCGAATGATACTTTGATTTATTATTAAATTTGGCTGCTGTTAATAATAATATAATCATTTCATTTTTTTTTTTTATAAAAAAAAATAAAGCTTATATACAGGTTGCTTCTAATTGATGAAACGTTTAGTGTTTTGATATTTCATTAGTCGACTTAGCCGGCTAAATAACCGATTATACTTAGTTGACTAAATATATAATGCAAAATATATAAAATAATTTTTATTATATCTAATTCCTATAGTCATTAAAAAGTTGGTACGTACGTATAAGTTTAGAGGCAAAAATTTATACAAGACAATGTTAGCTGTTAATGTTTTAATACGTATATACCTGATACGTATCAGTTTGGTGTGGATGTAAAATATCAAATTTAAATTCCGACCATACTGATTTGACGTATGTCATATCTCTAACCCTTATATATATTGGGATCTTTGCTACGTAGGATTTTTTTTTTCTAAAATTAGATTTATTATGTTTTTCTTAAAAAAAATATCGGCTAACGGCTGGCTAATGGCTGGCCAATAGAAAGTGACATATCACGTGCCTTGTTTGTGACACATGACATGAGCTACTATGAAGTAAATATAACTTTTTTTTTATTCTATATATTATAAATATTAAACAAATAAGTGTTAAAATAAAACATAAAAAAATTTAAATTTAATAAATTTAGCTTTCTAAAAATATTAATGTAATCAAAATTCTGATTATTTTGATAATATATACGATTTCAAGAAGGTCACGTGACCTTCGCGCTTAGAATTGGCTAATAGAATTACAAATAAGGTAATAATAAAAAACTATAATTTTTTTTATGATACATAACCTTGCTTGCTGATTTTAATAATTTTACTTTATTAGAATTGCTTAGTATATTATAAGATATATGAGATATATATAAAAATTTGTTATAATTCTTTAAAGTATTAAAGAATTATAAAGCCATGCAAACTTAATTAATTGGTTTTCATAATTCAGCCGTGTCAAAATTTGAAAATTTGTAAAAAAAATTTTTGTATGTTTTAATAACCAGATAGATATTTTAAAATTTTTATATATGAAATTTTTTAAAAAAAACCAGCCAGTTGGGTCTGTTTAAAAGTTTCATGTTATGAAAACCAATATATTAAATTTGTGTAGCATAACTAATTTTTTATACATATTTCATAATCTACTGGGTTGATTTTAATGATCTTATTATCATTAGAATTGTTTAAAATTGCAATAACCTTCTCTATAACTATGATTAGAAGCCTAGACAAGGTTATTATAATAAAAAAAAAGTTTTAATTAATAATTACAATATTATAATTTTGAGGAATTATTTGCATACATCAGTTTTGTGTAACTCACATACATCAATTTTTATATTGTCCAATGAAATTTCAGTGTTAGTTAGTAATTTTCAAATTCGATAATTATTTGCGTACATCATTTTCGTATATATCATTTTCGTGTACATCGTTTTCGTGTACATCGATTTTAATTATTTGATTTTTAACTTTCAGAGTTTCGTACTCTCAAAATCTCTTAGCGCACAAAATATTTTGATCGCTTATACATACAATATTTACAAGTATATGGGACGAGATAAACTTAATTTATAGAATTATAGAAACTGGTTTAACATTAAGCAAATTTCATTTAAATTTTATTAAGCATTTATATTGCATCGCCTTACAATAATAATTTTATAAAATATTGTCTTTTTTTTGAAATCTCAATTATACATACATATTTGTTTTTGTTACATGCAAACTTTTCATGATACTTACTAAGTTATTAAATATTTTCTTCAGTAACTAAGCATTGAATTATCATTGTTAATAACAAATCAATTCAATTCTGTAAAAAAAGTTAATAAAGCAACAGACAAAACATAATTCTATACAAAGAGAGAATACCAATCCTCTGAAAAACCTAAGCGATGGCAAATTGAAATATACTGAGGACTTAAAGGTGGAGCTTGTATATTTCTATTTTTTTTGAGTTTAACGAACACAATATGATTATGCCCATGCCAATGCAGAATAACCGGTTTTTTATGACGTCCAGGTCTTTTATCAAATGGCAAAAAAAGAAGACTTGACATAACATCCACACCAAGTATCGCTATCGGTATATTAAATGCATCTGATGCCAGTTGTGCACACTCTGGTGTATAAAACCAGTATTCTTGTGAACATCTTGGCTGAAGATATGATAAAACGGTCATAAGCCGATTTGTGCCATATCCAAGTGTGTTGCTATAAAAAGATTGATTCTTAGTTAGTTGAGATTTCATGGTGTTCTTGATATCTTGCCATTTTTCCTCTTCTTGAAATATAGCTACAGCTAATGATCGAAAACCGCAATGACCATCTCCAAGTGGATTGTATACCTGTAATTACATATGCGTCTCAATTAGCTTTTTTGAAAAAAGTAACTTCGAAAAATTTTTACCTATTGCTATATTTTAGTGTAGTTATATCCGAGGTAATCGTATCTAAAAGAAATTTATTGAGAAGGCATATATATTTGCCGCTTATGCAACCAATATATATATAAGTTACGTCTCTTAATAAATTTCATTTGCATTTACCTAGGATACGATATTCACATAACTTTGACATATTTGAATTAATTTAAAAAAATCGAGATCAAAATATAGTATAGGCCACATCTATTAATATAATATAGGGTTATAATAAATTGATTAAGTGTCGCCTATACTAATTTGATCTCTTATCTTCTAAAACAAATGTTGCTAGTGGGAATAAGTGTATTGAAAAAGTTAAAATTATGTGAATGAATTCAGAAAAAAAAAAAACTTATTCCAGCTGCAACTATAAGAACTAATTTTAATAATTTTAGTAACTAATTAATAAATAAATAAATTAACTGACACTAATTATTATTAGGAGAAGTAATTTAGACATATATACCTCTGATACTGCGCTTTGAGAAATACGTGAGTCAAGCTTTATAGGAATTGTAACATCATTATCATCCAATTTCTCGACTTTAGGTTTTTTAACATTTTTAAAAGTACTGCAGATACGTCTGTTATTAGAGGGACGACCACACTTACGCTTGATCTTAGGAATCTTAATTTCTTTATAATTTGCAGCACTGTCAACAATAGTCATTTCAAAATTACCCTGCTGCGAAATAGTCAATTCATTTTGAAGCTTTGGCATTTTGCCATCCCTCAAAATATGCTCTGAAGCATCTTGTATAAGACTTAATAAATCACTATGGTGACACTCTGGCAGCTTGTTGAAAATCTGCATAGCAAGTTGGGGAACTGAATCTGAATCACGATCAATTTTTGTAGTGTGCTGCACATGCCAACGTTCATGAACCTCACTTTGTAGCACATAAGTACATATATACGATAAATATACTATAATTATATGCTGACATGGAGTCCTCGTGCGCCGTGGATGCAAACATGTGCAAGTGCTTGGTGTTCCGATTTGCACTATATACGTTCTCATTACTTGATCATCGATATGCACTACATCATATATATTAGTATCACTTTTAAGAACTCCATATTCACCAGATCTTACAAGGTCTTGTTGCTTTTTTATATAGGTTTCAAATGCGTATCGTGAACATATTGAATGTAGCTTTTTTAAACCTATATCCTTATTATCTTGCGTGTGTCTATTTTGATGCAAAAATGTTTCATACGTAAATTTCTGAGTGTGTTCTTGACGTTGTTGCTGAATTATTGCAATTAACCTATAAATAAGAATTAGAATTGATTAAAATTTTTAATCAAAAAATAAAAAAATAAAAAAATAACTAATACGCGATTTATCAGGGATAAAGAAGCGTTAGTCAATATGTATATTTTTCATATAATTAATATATTTTTTTTTTAAGAAAAACATATTGTATCTAAAGTAGCTAGATGCAATATATATATCGAGTAGTTGAGTAGTTGATTGATTAATTAGTCAACTAATAATTAAATAATTTTTCCTACCTATCAATTGGAGTAATACGACTTTCAACACTTTTTAATTGGCTATGCAGGCTTTCAACGCGCTGGCTTGACCTGATATCAAGATTCATATTTCCTTTTGTGTGTATTGCAAGCAAACTTTCTTTATGCGGCATCCATGTTTCGCATATATACTTTTTTGCACTTGGAAAACGTAACCATAGATCTGTAATTTTTTGTTCAGTTTGATCTTCTGAAAGATCATCATATACAAGTTTCTGAAAAGCCCGAATAAATTCATTAATACCAATGCCTCTAAGCTTATTCCTGATATTTTTGAAAACGTGCCAAGTGCATAGCTGATGTCTTGTATTAGGAAATACAATACATATTGCAGCCATAAGGGCCAACTTTCGGTCGGTTATAATCGTTTTTATATGCGTATCACCTGTTAAAATAGTTAGCACCTTATGCAGCTGTTGTAATATCCAGCAATAAAAGTCTTTCGTTTCAGAATAGACAAGTGAGAAAGCTAAAGGGTACGTTAATCCAAATCGATCAACGCTACAAATAACGATTAGTGGCATTTCAAATCTGATTAAAAAAAAAAGAATAATTCTTATTAATAACAAATAAATAAATAAATAAAATAAATAAATAATATAAAGTAAAAGAAAGAAATAATATAAAGTAAAAGAAAAAAATAATGCCATGCACGGAATAATAAACAAGAGCTAAATAGTACATATATGTTGATCTAAAGCCAAGAAGTTAATATTGCATTCATGAATAAAAATCGTGACTATTAAATCTTAACTCTATTACTTAAACAGCTTGTTATTATACACATAACTTCAGTTATATCGACACGTTCTAATAAAAAAAAAAATACTGTCTGGTATATTCAAATATTAGACATTTTTATATCAAAATATAGAATTGAAAGTTCTGAAGTTACAAACAAATATCACTATAACCAAAAATAATCATGACAATTTTATTTGAGTATGATCAAATACAATCTTAAAAAAAAAAAAAAAAAAAAAAAAAAAAAAAAAAAAACAGAAACCTGTTGGTTTTATACATTGCATCAACAACCAAAACATCTTTCACTACTGCAAATTCAGAAAATGCATTTTGATGAGCCCAGAAGATTGCTTGAATAAATGATCCATCTTGATCACATTCATCATTATATGCAGGTTTAGTAGCAATACTTGCAATAATATTTTCATCATGTTCTAAAGTTTTAAACAGCATCTCAATATCATTTAGCCCTTGCAATTTTTGTTGATGTTGATGACCAACAGCATTATAAACGTCACGTTTATATACATACTTCGAGCTCACAGATGCTAAAACAGTATAAATGTCTTTTGTTCGAAGTCCCTTATTGTGAAGATCTTTAATTGTGCCTAGCTCATTCTGATCCATTTTACGCATATTGATACTGAACTTTCTAGCATCAGGATAAATAACATGATTATGCTCCAAGCATAATTTGGTTATAGCGAATTCCTTTAAGTGCTTACGATAATTTAGTCTGATAACAAACTGACAACCTATTCGCTTAGTAGTATATGCCTCATTTTTTTCATTATAGCTCCACTGTTTCTCGCAAACGAAAAATGCCTGTCTATAACCATTACCTTCCGAATTTCTGGTTGTCCTTCCCAAAATTGTAACAATATTGGTTTGTGCTGCATACTTTTCTACAAAGGCACGAGCTTTCCCAAAAGTAGAAAAAGTGTTTCTTTTTTTAGGAATAAGAATATCATTAGTATTAGTACTCATTACAAAAATCGTTAGAATTGATGAAAAATAAGGTGAGTATGAAAAAATAAGCCAAATAGCAATGAAACTATATGAAACTAGATTGATGAAAATGGAAACAAATATTGTAAGATTAATGATAAATGTAAAATCAACTATGAATATAATCAACCAAACTAACATTAGATATAATCCTTAACAAAATTGAAAACTTCTTCTGCCTAATCAGACATAAAAAACTCACACCCTCACAGATTTCATCACTCTTTAATCTTGTACTTCAGCCCTCTATGGAATACCTCTTACAAGTATCTATCATTCATAAGAACTTTCAAACTAAACTGTCTCGACTCTTTACTATCCTGACAAAAAAATGCTCTCTCTCGCTAAAAACACAAATAATATCGTTCTCAGCAATCCTATAACCTTCAATCTACCAACTCTTAATAATTTGGTTCAAAAAGCTAGTGCTGCAAATATAGAACGTAT